CATGAGAACACAGGAGCCTTGCACAGTTCCCCGAAATGAAAACAGTGCACACAAGACACATCAACAGGAAGACACATTTGGTTGCTGGGCAGCTTCTGTGCAAGCGTTGGGTGGGGTGGGGGTGGGGGTGGGGGTGGTGCAAGTAGATAAAGGGAAAATAAAGAACCAACGTGGTAGCACCCAGCCTAGACCCTTGTTGAGAACGTGGGTCTTTCTGCCAAAACAAAGCAAAAGGAAAAACATTACAAAGCAAAACAATCCCAGGGAAATAAAAAAGAGAAACCTAATACACCTCCCCCAAAAGCCCCCAAACTAAAAATTAAAATAAACACAAAATTGCAACGTGCAGTCCTCTGCATGAAGGATTCAAACCTTCCCACTGCTGCCTGGGGCCTGGTCCTGGGTAATCGCATCTAGTAACAGACTAGTATAGAAGCCACGGTCCGAGGTCCCCAGGTCCAGGAGCTGAGACGCAGAACCCCGTGCTCAGTTAGGTAGACCCGTCTGCCCCACCCTCCCTGTTGCCAAAATGCTGGACAAGAAGGCAGATGTGCCCCTGCGGAGCAGCTGTGACTTGTAGGGTGAGGTCTGTGAGGTCAGGGCTGAGCCGCCGTAGGTCCAGTGGTTTCTGTAACTCCAAGTAGAAAGCGAGCAGATTCGGAGTGAACCTGAGCCCAGATCTGGCTGCTGGAGGGGGCGGGGAATCTGCACCCCCAAGCCGCTCTCAGCGCAAGACCCTATGCCTTGGCCCCTTGCCCAGCGTCTTCCATGAGTCTGGCAGGCAGCGTCCTGCCTGGTGACAGGATTGTGCAGTCTGTAAGCGTTCAGAGGTGCTGGTTCTGGGCCACACCTGCACTGCCCCCAGATTGGGGGTGGGGTCGGGCCTAAATTCAATGTCTGCCTTCCCGGGGAGAACTGCCCGCAGGAGTCGGAGGCCCTGGTCTTCCTGGGTTTAGCCACTCGTGCATCCCTCAAGCTCCCAAGTGAAAGCATATCAGCTAGTGGGGGTGGTGTGGAGCCAGCTGTTCGCGAAGTCAAGGGATCCCTCAGCATTCCTGCCCTCCTGCTCCCAGAGAGAGAAGTGTGGACGTGAGGAGGGGCGCTCCCCAGGCCTCAAAGCAGGGGAGCGCTCTGGGGGCCAAGGTGGCTACACGGTGGCGTGGCGGTGGTGGCGGCGGCGGCGCGTTGGGGCCAGAGGATGGAGCCCGAATGGGGTTCTGACACCCGTCCGCCGTCCCCAGAGAGACCAATCCGGGTGAGCGGTGGCTGCGCTGAGCGTCGTTCCTCAAAGTCGGTGACGCTAGCAGGCGGCTCTGGCGTCCCGGCTCTATCCAGAGGGTTGTTGACTCTGCATCCGGATTAACCTGGGAATCCCGCGGGCGCCTCTAGTGCGCGGTGCGAGCGAGCGCAGATGGGGAGGTTGCTGCAAGTTCTGGGTGAAAGCTGGTCCGCCTCTTCTAAGTGCCCGTCCCGGCTCCACCGAAGAGGCCTTTGCACGTCCGGCAGAGCGTTAGAGCCACGGCCGGGAGGGGTCTGCTCGGGCGCTTCCTGCCCGGGGCAGGCGCGCCCCTTCCAAATGTAAAACAAAAGGACCCCCCCCTCCACACTCCTCAGGGGCCTACGGGCTGTGCACGCAGAGGTGCGCAGTGGCCTATGTGGCTCGCTGGCCGCAGAAGCCCGGCTGCGGGTGCTGGCGTGCCTGGTGTGCATCCAGGCCTGTCACCCTTGTGGCCTTGTTTGTGCCCCCGTGTGTGGCTTGGGGCGGCCTCCATTTTGAGGTGGGGATGCAGCAAGTTCGGCCTCCTGGCTCCCTGACCCGCATTTCGCAGAGGCAGCCGGAAACTTGAACGATTGGTGGAGTGAGTGTTCCTCGAAGGGGATTGGGGAAGGCCACACCTCGTGGTCTGTAAGGTGGCACTAATCCTCCTTTCATCAGCCACTTCTCAACCCCTTGGCTACTCACCTCCCAACGCAGGCGCAGCAGTTTTGCCAAGGCCAAAGGACAGCAAGTCCCCTACAGGGGGATGAGCTGGGGGAGGCTTCTGAGGAAGTAGGCCCATGCCCCGAGTGGTTTGTGGGTCACCTCAGAGCAGCCCCCTTTCATTCAAGAGAATATTTATGGAGATCCTCCTGGGTGTTTGCGATGTTATAGACATCACCACTGACTCTCAAGGTGACAGCTATGAGTTTCTATGTATAAGGAAACTGAGGCACAGAGAGGCAAAGACACTGGCTCAAATTTAAACGGCTCTAAGACCAGTATTCCAAAGCAACTTCATTTAATTCCAGTACATATGGTTTCCTTTTATTCCCCTGTCTCTCAAAACTACCCCCCCCACACACACAACAGATCTGCTACCCTGGGGTGGGGCCCTCAGGTAGCAAGTTCAGCGCGCAAAAGAGACAGGAGTGCAGAGAAAGTGGGATTCTTTCCCAGAATTCTCACCCCATCACCAATCTAATGGGCTGTGATGGCAAACACCTCCCTTCCACCTTTTTATTGCTTCCTCTGAAAGTGCTTTGGGAAGATGTGCCCTGGGAGGTCAAGGGCAGCATGCACCTTGGCTAAAGCACACTGGAGAGGCATTCATCCCCAGACAAGGCGCTGCAGACTTCCCCTCAGCAGTGCCAGGCCTTTCAGCTGTCGGAGCCTCTACCCACTGTGGGGCCAGGAGTGACACAGGTGACCCTGGCTAGGAGGGATTAGAGCTAAATGATGCGCCTGGTATCTTGGGCCTTAAATAACCTCCTTTCCATTAAATGAGAAATGGCAGAGGGACTTAAGAGGGCCTCGTGTACTTTTTTTTTTTAGGTGTGTAAATGCACCCGCTATGCTATATTCCCATATTGTACAAATATAGTGGCCTTGTTCTATATGCATACTTGCATTCATAAGCGTGCATCTCCTGACAGTGCGTACAAGCTGCCCCACATACAGTGCGTGTGTGTGTGTGTGGGGGGGGGGTGTCCTTCTCTGTCCAGCTGTGGATTGCTCCTAGTCACTTTTGACTCTTCCTTCTATGAGTCTACACCTGGGAGTCATGCAACTGGCCATCTGTACAGCAGAAGTGATGGTACGTGGGCATAAAACTCACAATTGTCCAGAACTCACCAATACCCACAGGTGAGTGGGTATGAGGTGGTGAGTGTCACGGGCAGGGACTTGAGGGTCTTTGGGAGTGTGGGTTTAAGGGGCTGATTTCTCCATTTCTGAAAGCCTTGCACGTTTTCTCAATGAAACCCCAAGCTAGCTGTTGACATCTTGTATTTGGGACACACACACACACACACACACACACACACACACACGATGAGAAGGGATCTAATCTAATCTCTGGTGCCCAACAGGTCCACACACCTGCTGGAATTGCTGCGAGGTGGGGACTGCCGTCCCATTCAGTCCCATAACCGTCCCATCCCAAGCCTGCCCTCCGCACATCGCTTACTGCCTCACCTCTAGGACACACCTGACACCGGGAATGCTCCCAGAAGACCGGGGTCCTTGGGTCTGTGTCCAAGACGGACCCTTCCCACCGGGCTGCCTCCAGGCTGCACACTGGCCCTGCCCCCATTCCGGGCCGCCGAGCCCAGGGGCCGCGGGGACGCTCTGCGCAGCAGCCCAGGTGCCCCGGTCTGTGTGCGGGAGGCCCAGGTCGGACGGACAGAGGCGGGGTCCCGGCGCCCGGCGTCCTGCGGCCCGCGTGGGGCTGGTGGCCCTGTCCAGGCCGCGGTGGCCGGGCGCCGGCTCTGGCCCGGGGACTCCGAGGCCTCGCGGCCGGCGAAGGAGAAGCGGAGGAAGGGCAGAGCGGGAGGCCGGCGGGGGCTGGGGAGGCCGGCGGGGGCTGGGGGGGCTGGGGGGAGGCGGGCTGGGCTGGGGAGGCCGAGCGGGGAGCTGGGGGAGGCCGGGCGGGGGGCTGGGGGGTGGCTGGGGGGAGGCCGGGCGGGGAGCTGGGGGAGGCCGGGCGGGGAGCTGGGGGAGGCCGGGCGGGGAGCTGGGGGAGGCCGGGCGGGGGGCTGGGGGGGGGGCTGGGGGGAGGCCGGGCCTGGAGCTGGGGGAGGCCGGGCGGGGAGCTGGGGGAGGCCGGGCGGGGGGCTGGGGGGGCTGGGGGGAGGCCGGGCCTGGAGCTGGGGGAGGCCGGGCGGGGAGCTGGGGGAGGCCGGGCCGGGAGCTGGGGGAGGCCGGTCGGGGAACTGGGGGAGGCCGGGCGGGGGGCTGGGGGAGGCCGGGCCGGGAGCTGGGGGGAGGCCGGTCGGGGGGCTGGGGGGAGGCCGGGCGGGGAGCTGGGGGAGGCCGGTCGGGGAGCTGGGGGAGGCCGGGCGGGGAGCTGGGGGAGGCCGGGCCGGGAGCTGGGGGGAGGCCGGCAGCCGCCGCCGCCTGGGGCCGCCGACCTGGGCTCGGGCTGCGGCCTGGGCAGGGAGGGCAGGACCCCGGGGTCCCCGCGCCCCTCCCGTCGCTCCGGCCGAGCCCGGGTCCGGCGAACGCTGGGGGCCGAGGCCGGGGAGGGGAGGCCGGGGCGGGCGCGGGGCGCGGGGGGGCGCGGGGTGGGGCGCGAGGGCGCCGAGGCGGGGCGGGGGGGGCGGGGTGGGGCGCGAGGGGCGCCGAGGCGGGCGCCGAGGCGGGCGGGCGGGCGGGCGGGCCCGAGCGCAGCGCCCCGGCGCCGGCGCCGACCCTTCCCGGCCCCGACGCAGCCGAGCGCCCGGGACGCGGTGTGCGCTCCGCCGCGGGGAGGCTCCCCGGCTCCGCGCCCGCATCTGCGCCGCCGCCGGCTGGGAGCGGCCTAGGGCGCGGGCCCGAGCGCCCGAGCGGAGCCCGAGGGGAGCCCGAGCGGAGCCCCAGGCCCGCGGCCGCGCGCGGGAAGCCTCCTGCCCGGGCCGCCGCTTTGTCGGCCGCGCCCCGCTCTGCGCCCGGCGCGCAGGGGCCCACCCGCCGCGGGGAAGGGCGCGCGCACCGATGGCGGACGCCGGCTGCCCGCGCTGCGCCCCGGGACGCGGCCGCTTACCTCGCACCAGGATGCGGCGGCAGTGGCCCGGCTCCCCGAGCCCCGGAGGCCCGTCGCCGTCGCCGCCCCGGGGGCCCGCGGGGCTGGGAGCCGAGGTCCCGGCCATCGCCCTCGGGCCGCGGCGGCCCGCACCGGCGCCTGCGTGCTCCGCCGCGCCTCGGCCCCGCCGCCCGGCTCCCCGCGGGCGGGTCCGCAGCCGCGCTCGGCGCCCCAGCGCCCATGCCCGCCGCCCGCGCCCCCGCCCCGCCGCGCCGCGCCTCCCCCTCCGCGCGCCCCGCCCCGCCCCGCCCCGCCCGCGGCTCCACCCCTCGCTGCCCACCGGGCCGGGGCCGGGTCCTCGAGTCGCGGAGCTGCGAGGGGGCGGGGCGGGCGGAGGGGGCGGAGGGGGAGGCGGGACGGGGCGGGGCGGGGCGAGGCGCCCCCTTCCCCCCTCCACCACCCCCCGCTCCAGCCCGGGTCCGGCCTGGAGGAGGGAGGCCGGGGCGGCCCTGGGGCTGTGCTCGCTGCGCGCCCTGCGCTCAAGTTCGCCAGCCTCACCCCTCCCCGCGCCCCTGGCCCTCGCCCCCCACCCCCTCCGCCTCGCCCCCCGCCCCCTCCCCGCGCCCTCGCCCCCCGCCCCGTCGGCCCGGGGAGGGCAGGCCCCGCGCTCCCGCGCTCTCAGCCGGGCCAGCAGCCCCGGGGCTCCGGGAAGGCGACCCCGAGACCCTGCCGAAAGCAGCAGAAAGCGCTGGGCCTCGGCCGGCGGGGTCGGGCCTCCGCGCTCCGCCGCCCCCAGACCCCAACGCCCGCTCCCGGGCCGCTGGCCGCAGGCAGGCCCCTTGCTCCGCGGAGAGCGCCCGGCGCCCCGATCCCGATCCCGACGGGCAGCAGGTGGGTGACCCCGTGCGCCGCGCCCCGGCCCAGCCCCGGCCCAGCCCCGGCCCCGGAACGGCCCCCGCGGGGCGCAGAGAAGCGGGGGGCGGGCCCCGGGGCGAGCGCTCGGCCTCCCGCGCTCAGAGGGGCCTGCGCCCCGGGCCCAGCGTCTCCTCCGACGGCCCCAGGACGGGCCCGGCCCCGCGTTCCCTCCGCGCGACCCCGGGAGGGGCTGGAGGAGACGCTGGGCCCGGGAGGCCGGTGCCCCGGGCGCGCCCGCACCGAGGCCGGACCCCCCCTTCCCAAAGCACCGGGACCGCCGACTTCGCTCCCCTCCCCGGCTCCGGGATGTCGGGCCGAGAGTGTGGGCGCCAGTGGCTGTTGGGGTGCGCTGGGGGCCGCGCCCGTGGCCCCTGCAGCCCGGTGACCCGGGGAGCGCGCGGACGGGCCAGCCGGTGCCTTAGCGCGTGCCCAGGGTGCCCGTGTTTGTGTCCGAGCTCAGATGCCCGCGGCAGAAGGCGAGGTGGGCTGGACGCCCCAATTACTTAATTGGGTGACAAACAGTGCCTCGGTGAAAGGTTTGAGATGTGGGAAGAGGGGAGGGAAAAGGGTGCAGGGGAGGAGGACGGCTGCTCCGTTCTGATAGAAAGTGGGGGGAGGATAGTAAAGAAAGAAACTTTCTCGGGCCAGGGAGCCCCAGGCTGTCCGGTGCTCGGGCAGCGCGCACAGGAGAGATGACAGCTGGTGGCACCTGGGGACCTGGGAGGAGGGAAGCTTGTAGCCGCTGGAGGACCTGGGCAGTGGGACCCGACCCTGCAGGACCGAGCTGGCGGGAAGGACCCAAGTGGCCCGTCTGCAGGGCCCAGGCTCCGCGGTGACCCCCACAGGGGCCTGGACTCCCGGAGGCCAGTCGCCTGATCCAGCCTGTCCCCTTCGCTCTGCACTTCGGTCTTTCTCCGCGCCAACTCTCTCAAGCTGACTTATCTTTATTATTCAAGCAAGAAGCAGAAAGTAAATACTCCGGCTCCAACCTTGGGTGGTGTGGGGGGGAGGCAAGCCCTGGCTTTTCTCGGGCGCAGCGGCTGAATTTCAATTCAGAGAAAAACGGAACAGCCCCGGCTGAGCCCTGCCGGGTTTTGTTTGTTTTCACCCTTTACATTTTCGTCCCACAAACACTGTCTCTCAGGGCCAACAACTCCGGTCTCCATGGGGCAAACTGTCCCGAGGTCCACGATGGGCGCACGGGCACCCACACCCCTGGGGACCCAGGCGGGCCTGCGGGAGAGGCGAACCCCAGGGGCCAGGACCCGCCCGGAGCAGGGAGGAGGGCTAGTTCTTGGGAGGTCCCGTGCTTCCGCTGTCTCCCGCCCTCGATTTTTCCTTTCCCTCCCGCCGCCTCTTTTCGGGGTGGGATTTGGCTTCCGGAGGGCATCAGGCTCTCTGGGCTCCCGGGCCTGGAGGTGGGGCCCCCACCCTGGGATTGCACCCTTCGGGGCCAGCGGGGGAGCTCAGGGCTTCTGCACACAGAGGTGGAGAGTGTGCGTTGTGCACGCGTGTGGGTGTGGGTGTGGATGTGGGGGCCGTGCTGGATCTGCTGGATCTGCTGGATCTCCTCCCTCAGCGGCTGCAGCCCAGCCAGGGTGCCCGCGGGCCCTGCGGAGCCTGAGCCCGTGCCTGGCCCAGGAGGTGGGCTGTGTGGGGCCAGCGGGCTCCCACCCACACCCTGTCCTCTCTGGAGGCCCTGACCTGCCGCCTGGCTCCTGAGCTTGCGGGGTGCGGAAAGCTGGGGAGTCTGTACCGGGCAGGGGCCCCCGGTAGGGCCGTGCGGGGTTGGCCTTGCTGACTGCACACACTCATTTGTTGGGGTGCCCGTGGGTTCCAGGAGGCCCTCCTGCCAGGGTGGGCAGTGGGCAGAGCGCTGGTGTTGACCCGCCTGGCGCGAATTCTCTGAGATCTGGGGTTCCTGCCTCTGCAGCGGGACAGGTGGCCTATGTGGCCAGTGTCTTAGGCTCTCACTGCCAGTCTACACTGGCGGTCTCCCAGTCATCTCAGCTGGGTTGAGATCCTAACGATCTGAAAAATCCTGTCTCTCTACACACCCACTCCCTTTCTGTAAAGCAATTCAGGGGCCTTAGTGGGAGGCACGCGGGTGGGGGAGAGCAGAGGGAGTCCCAGCGCGCAGGGGCGGGGCCATGGCCCAAACTGCTTGCCCAGAGGCTCTGACCCTGCCAGGCTGCCAGGGCCGCAGACTCTAGGTGTTGCTCTGGCCCTTTCTGGGTCCCACCGAGCCTCCACAGCTCACAGCCAGGATCCGTTCCTGTTACCAGCTCTGTCCTGGCCTCTGCTGGTCCCACCGGGTCAGTGGGCTTCTGCTTCGCAGGATGAGCTGCTCTGGTTACATTGAACTGCTGCGTCCTGGGCTGGCTCCCTGTGTCCTGTGTGTCCTGTGGCGACCTCTGCCACAAGGAGCTCCCTGGCCATGGTGGTGGGGGTGGTCCTCCCTCGGCTGTAGGAATGGAGAGGCAGCCAGGCAGCAAAGGGCTCCAGCAACCCAGCTCCCTTCAGATGCTCCTTAGGATTCGGTCTCCAGAAGATTTCTCCAAAACAGCCTGAGTTGGGGAAAGTCCTCCCTCCAGTCTCACCTTGTTTCCCGCCTTGCTTAACTGCCATCTCCAATTCTTGCTGATTTTTCTCCCGGTGTGGGCTTGATCCAGTCTTTTTCCAGGGACCCTTTAGGCCCTCCCCATCCACCTTCACCAGGCCTTCTAGCAGGGTGACGTAACGAGTGAGACGTGAGACTAGTGAGATGTCCTGAGCCTCTGTCCTTCTGACAGCTGGGCACCCCCGCCCCATGCCTACCCTGCTGGGCAGCAGGCCCTCTAGCATCAGAAGTGTGTCACCTGTCCTGGGTTCTAGGGGAGCCAAGATGGGCATGTGTTTGGGCGGGAGTTGGAGTCCAGGTTCTCCCAGAAGCTCCCTGTATTTCGCACCCAAGCAGGTGAGTCCTCCGCAAACAGTGGTCCTGCGGCTCTGGCTGGAACCTTCAGCATCCCCTTTGCTGCTCAGATCCTGGAAAGTCAGAAGCGTCATCCTGTGTCTGGTTCCTCGTCCTTCTGTATCCCTAGGGTGCTCTGACAAGCACGTCAGGCCAGCTCTCCAGGCCTGGACCCCCGACCCAGCTCAGCCCGGCTCCGTCTGGTGCCTGGGCCAAGCCTGCAGCCCCTTCCGGTGCCTTCCCCAGCTGGCTTCCTCCCTGCATTCCTCAGCCTCTTTACCTCCCTGCTTCCCTCTCTGGGCCAGTGCTTCTCCTTGGTCCTTTCCCTGAGGCCTAGAGGCTTGGGAGGTCTAGGTATCTCTGTCCTGTCTCATCCCCTTTTTGTCTGGGACTCCTGTCCATCTTTCTTCTTACGGGTTTTGGGGCCCCATACAGAGGTCCCTGGGAGATCCTGGGTGGCATTCTTCTGGCCCCCAGCTATTCCTGCTGGGACAAGGACCTCGGGGTTTGAGTGAATAGGGAAGACCACTCCTTGCAGATTCAGCTGGGGAGCACAAGACCCAGGGGGCAGAAAAAAAAATCCGGCTTCTCTTCCTTCCCTGACCCTGCCTATACCCCACCCTACATGCCTGGGAGCCAGACCTCCATACTGGAACATCAGAGAGGGACCCTGGCCCCACTCTCTGGTAGGAAGGGATTGACATTTTAAAAGTAGATGAGGTGCTGGGGCGCCTGGGTAACTCCGTGGGTTAAGCATCTGCCTTGGGCTCAGGTCATGATCCCGGGGTCCTGGGATGGATGGAGCGCCATCAGGCTCCCTGCTCGGGGGAAGCCTACTTCTCCCTCTGCCTCTGCCTGCCGCTTCCCCTGCTTGTGCGCTCCCTCCCCTGTCAAAAAAAAATTAAGTAGATGGGGTGCTGCTGGAGTTTTTTTTTTTTTTTACAATGGACATTGTTATTTTTGTAAAAAACAATAAAATGTGTTCATTTCTGAGAAGAGTAGCAGTGCTGCAGCCCAAGGAGGGCTGCTCTACTGATGAGACGCCGTGTTCCTGGGTTGGTGGGACAGGTGCTGGGGGCAGAGTGAGGCTCCTCTCGATAGCCAGCCGCCTGCAGGCTCAGACAGGGCTCAGTCAGTGACAGGGAGCAGACCCTCCGGGCCCTATACCCTATATGTGCCAAGGTGGAGGGGGGATGGAGGGGGGCTGGGAAGCAGGGAACCCAAGTTAGCTGTGCTGGGGTGGGCTGGTGCAGGGTGAGGTGGGGAAGGGCCAGCTACTGCCCAATTTCTCATTTCTTTGCCTCTCAAGGCAACACCCCCCTGCTTTGCTTTGTCCCCTCTTCCGTGTAGGCAGGAATCCCAGGGAGGCGGTGGGACAGCTCTAGGGCTGTCAAGATCTGCCGATGCCAGGTCTGGTACACCCGCTGGTGCCTTTCCTGATCCTGGGGGTGGGTCCTGAGGCCCATGGGGAGAGCTGCCCGGGGGAGGCTGTGGGTCTAGGCCAGTTTGTAAAGAGGACCACACTGGAGTGACAATGGCAGGGTTGATAACCTCTCCCGGTACTTACCACCCAGTGGCTACCAGGAGGCAACTCCTGCCTGGACTCTGGCGTTGGACCAGCACCAGGAAAGCTTAAAGGGAGGAGGCCAAGGATTTCTCGACTTCCCATGTATTAAGTCACTTAGGAAAAAAATCACTAGTGCTGGGCTGCTGACCAAATGGCTTCAATTCAGGTCCAGTGACTTCAGATCAGGTCCCCAGTGGGTTCCTGATATTTCAAGGGCTTCCAGGGGAAACCTGGCTGGGAACCCTTGCATTGGGCTAGGGCGGGGGAAGCAGGCATTGCTGGATGAAAGCCAGGAGCCAAGGTCTCGGTGGTCAGTGTGCAGTAATCCTGGGCATGAGAAAGGGTTATTTCAGTCAGGACTTCGGGTGGGTGGGGGAGGAGGGAAGTCAGCAGAGGTCTGGGAGGTAGGGGCAGTCTGGGGGTAGGAGGATCAGAGGGTGAACAACTGGGCCCAACACGCAGGTGTCCAATCTGATCTGGAAAGCTCCCCCACCCACAGGACTCTGTTGAGAGGCCACCTAAGGGCAAGAGCGGAGGCGACTGGCCGGCCAGCCACTGGACGTAGACTCAGCCAGTGGAGCAGAGTGGGTGTCCCCAGGGTCTGGGGCAGGGGCTTGGCGGGGTGGGGGACTCCTGGTTGCTGATCTTCTCATCTGCTTTCTCTAGACAGATCACCCCGAAGCTTCCTTGGCGTCCTGTTCCTCTTCCCTGGGATACTCTGAATTTCCTTCCTTGCCCGTTCTCTGATGGTTTGCTACTTCATCCTCCTGCTTCCTTTCTCCTTCCGGTTCTCTAGTCTTCCTCCCTTCCCGGCGTTTCTCTCCCTCCCCTCTCCCTCCTCTTCCCCTTCGTGGCTCCCAAATTCCCCACTTTCCATCAGCCCTCTCCTCGCAGGGGCAGAAGCACCCACGTTTACTTGTGTTTCTTAGGAAATTACCATCCCAGCTGGGTGAGGAATTTAAACGCGTGAAAACACTTGAGACTTGAGAGAATCTTCTGAAAAATTTCATTCTTTCTTAATAAACAAAATTCACTCACTCCTGCCACACTCTGATTTTATCTGGATCATTCTCTAAATCAATCTAGCAAGAGATACAGGGCAAAGTGCCCCACACTGTGCAACGCGGACACTGTCATCGATGGGACACGACACCCCTTAGGGTGGGACTGGGTTTCTCCCTTCTGCAGAGAAGGAAATGGACCAGACCGAGGTCACAACCCTAGGTTGTGTGGCTTCAACCCAGGTGCGGGATGAGGGCACTGCCGCGGCAAAAAACCCTTCCTTTGTCTCTCACTTCGCTCTGAGAACGGGGCTCCCCCAGACTGTCGCGGGACTCAGGCAGGCACTACGTGGCGGCTCCCAGCACGGCAGCCGGTGGGCCCCTTCCAGGGCGGCTGTGGCCTCTCCGGAGACCAAAAGAGTCCCGGGGTGTCAGACTCCGAGGAGCAGAAGCTGAGTCGCCTGCGGCTGGCTTTACCGTGTGCGGCTTTGTTCCTGTTCGGGTGTGGGCTTCCCTGAGATAGGCCTACGTACCGACTCACACACTCTCACACTGCGCTTCAATAGTTTTTAGTATTTTCACAGATAATACTCACGTGCGCAGTGTATGTCCAGATGTCCAGTGCAGCTGTCACCACCGTCAATGTTAGGTCATTTTCATTGCCTCAGAAGGAAACCTGTCCCCTTTAGCCGTCACTCCAGCTGCCCACACCGCCCCCTCCCAGCCCTAAGCAGCCACCAAATATGCATTTGCCTATTCTAGATTTTTCATATAAGTGGAATCATATAATAACTGATATCTGGCTTCTTTCACTTAGCATAATGTTTCAAGGTTCATTCACGCTGTAGCATGTATGAGTGCTTTACTCCTTTTACGGCTGAGTAACATCCCCCTGTATGGCTATCCTACATGTGCTCACCCACTCATTATTGGTAGACATTTGGATGGTTCCCACCTTGCCTGTGAGAGTGTGGGTCCCCCCCCTAGCTGGGGGTGTTCCACTGGCAGCTCAGAAGAGCAGCTGGAGGCGCACGGCGAGGCTCACGATGGGCCATACACTGGCTGATGGGTCACCTTCCAAGCCTCCTTTCACTCCTGCCCAGTGAGAGGGGACAGCTGGACTGAGAGACTTGTAGGAATTCTAGGCTCTGGAGTAAAGATTCAGAGCCTTGACTCTTGACTAGATTGGGTTAGAATCCTGGTTCTTTTTTTTTTTTTAAGATTTTATTTATTTATTCATAAGAGACACACAGGGAGAAGCAGAGACGTAGGGAGAGGGAGAAGCAGGACCCCAGGATCACGACCTGAGCCAAAGGCAGAAGCTCAACCGCTGAGCCACCCAGGCGTCCCTGGAATCCTGGTTCTACCGCTACCTAGTTGCTGACAGTTTAACTTCTGTCCCTCAGCGTCCTCATCCATTAAATAGGGATCATGTTACTGCCGAACTCCTGGAGTTGTTCTGAGGGTGAGTTAATCTGTGTAGAGCACTTGATCTGGTACCTGGCACTCAGCGGGTGCCGATGCCGGAGGAAGACAAATGTAAGCTTTCATCATTTAGGGCGTAGAGCCAGAGCTCACAGGAGCACAAGTTGGACCCGCTTTCTCTTCCTCCCGCCCGGATGGGTAAACGAACAAAGAGGTTAGCCTGTGCCTAAAGGGAGGGGGAGGTGGTCTGACCTGGGGGCAGGGAGCCCAGATTCCAGGTCTTCAGCCCCAGCCGCCTAGGTGGAGTCAGGATGGGGGTGCCCGAGAAACTGTCTCGCTGCCAGGGCCCCTGGATAGCAAAGCTGTGGTTTTCAGCCAACCTCACGTTTCTCAAAAGCAAACATTGAGCTCAGAGAAGACCGTGGGCGGTGTGGCCCCCGACCAGAACCCTGCTTTCAGTTATCCAGCCGCAGCACTGCTGAGCTCTTGGTGTTGAAAGTGCTACCCTTGCCTCTGCCATCAAACTAGATTCTCCCCTTCCCTGGTGGAGAACCCCAGCCAGCTCCGGTGGCTCAGCCCAGGAAGGAAGGAAGCAAAGGGAGCCCCAGATGGGTTTTGAGTCCTGCAGCCTAGAGGCAGGGGGGGTCCCCACAGGCAGTGTCCTGCCCCCCCCACCCTTCCC